CAATGCATAATTTATCCATAATTTAAGATGCATTTCTCTAAAAATTATCATTTTCTATATAAATCTTATAAAAATATGCTAGATTTATAGCATATTGCTTAACACAGGGTGCAAAAATAAAATTTATCAATTTATAAACTGCTTTTTACAAAATTTAAATTTCATTTTTTAATTCTAAATTTATTTTTACAGTTTTAATTCAATAAAATGTGGTTAATCTTTTATGCAAAAGCTCTGTACCTTTCTCCTTGCTTACTGACACAGTAGCAGACATCTACATTTGAAGGGGAGATAACAACAACAACATATGTCCCAATATAAAATGTCAAATTTTAAAATTTGAAATAAAATTTAAAATTTTCAAACCTGTCAGTAATCCTTTATTTTCCTGACTTCTATTCATAAACACAACACTGATGCAAAGTTTCATCCATATCCATCAACCAGTTCCCATTTTTGACATTTCTTATCTTGGACTCGGCCCGGTGAATTTTCGTACTATTAGTTCTATAGTAAATCAGTCAAATTTGAGGTTTAATTCTGGATTCCAATGTTCTTGATGAATTATATACTGTCTTCAACTTTAAGCATTAACACTATCTAAGTCAAATGATGCCCAAAATATAATAGGTTAGCCATCTACTTTTTTCAGAAATCTTCATTCTGTTGTAACACTGTTTAAATTCACCACTTTAAAAACTCCTGACAGCTGGTGGGTAGTACATCTTTAATCCTTCCACCAACAAATGAGTTCCTGGAGAATACACAAAAAACAACTTTTAAAGTCATCATATAACTCACAAAAACTACACACATGCAATAAATACACTTTAATTATGAACAATCTAACTAGAGATGACTTAAATTGGGCCATTTCATAATTTTAAAGAACTACTTTCTAGACTACAATGGGCTGGGTCTAATTCCGTACCGGGTTGAGACCATTAGTGTAGTACGATACGGTACGGCACCGGAAATAAGACAGGAATTAGCGGCAATGCATGCGCAGCAGTTCCATGCTCGTTTCTTCTTGTATCTAGATCGTACGTTGATCAGACACAAGGCATTTACACCTACAACAACGACTCAGAGTTCACTAGCCGGTTGCCATTGTACGAAGATTCATACAGCTTGTGGGTAAGTGCTTTACTGGCGCTGCGAGCTATTTCGGATTTGTGCATTTGATGTTTTTATCGCGGAAATTTCTAGTGCGGCCATAGCTTTCCCCGCGGTTTGACGTCATCACATCCATTTCATTTTAATAGATTAATTTTTGCTTTACAGTGAAAATATCATTTGTTTCTTCATTTAATAGCATAATAATTGAACATCTGTTAGGGATTTTATATTCTTTTCGTGATTTAATTAAGGATTGCATCAGATTTCCATAATTACCAATTACGAAAACCGTTGCAACTGTGTCTTTGGCTATCGAAAAATATATACAGATTCAGCAAAATTAATTTAGTTGAGACATCTGTCTTAGAGGCTATTGAATTATTGTAAATTTTTGTGAAGCATTTAGGAACAATAAATATTTTTTTTCCAGATTTTAATTCTGATAGCCGTCGGTCAAACATTGAATGCAGTGGCGTAGCTAATATTAGGCCTAGGTCTACAAGTTGGTCAAGACATTGACATTTTAAAGAGTCCAAAAAATACAATAAAAACAGGCATGGGTGGAATTGGTAGTGTGTTCAAGCTGTATGGTCGAATCAAGTGTCTTTTAGGCTGATGCATGATTAACCGTCCTCAATAAAGTTGGCATCTAATCTAATTCATAGTTTAAAATTATTGTTTTGATAATTTTCCTTGAAAATACTTTAGAACATGCAATTTGATCTTTTTAATCGGAGCTTGTTTTTCACTTCTGGGGGCTTAGCCCCCAGACCCCCTTTTATGGGCCTACAAGTTGAAAAAAGCTGGTTACGCACCTGGAATGATTGACAGACGCTTAAAGTTAGTGGGGTCGGTCTATTTACCCCAAGACACCCTAAGACTACCCAAAGACCGGTACAAGTCAACCCGGCCCCAAGTCAACCGGCCCCAAATTGGTCAACCCGGCCCCAAACCAATGTTAATTCTGGTCAACCCGGCCCCATTTTTTTATTATTTATTTTGCTTTAAAATATAAACACTTATCAAGAAATGAAATAAAAATTAACAACAAAAACAACAACAAAAGTTTAACGCTGATATCTTTTATTATTTATGTTATATAAAAACTATCAATATTAACAAACAAGCAACACATGCATAGTTTACTGTTTTTACCGTCGCGAAAATAAGGTGACGTCTGTCTTCAACCTTAACCTCTCTACGATAGAAGTTTTAAGAAAAAACTAAACTTTTTTATTGACATATCATGGAAAAGAAACCTTAATGTGTTCAAATCATTACTATGTTATTGTATGTTAAAAAAAAAAGAAATGACCAAAAGCACACTAAAGTGTTTCCATGAACAGTTTTTTAGTAAGTTTAATTATAGAGTTGCTGCAATCTATCACAGATATCGCAGGTCACTGCCTCCTGTCTGTCACGCACAATATATCCACAATCAATACAGTCATAATGACATAAAGTGATTAAACACAAAACACTATCAATTTTTCAAACACTTATATATTCCAATATTTTTTACACAGTAAATATTCTTTGAAAATAAATTGATAAAAAACGAAACAAATATTAATTATACTGATGAACGTATTCAATGAAATCATTCAAATGAACCAGGGGTCACGTTTCTAGGCGACTTGGGCGACAAAGTCGCCTTGTCTCTCTCCATTTCGCCCGGATCGCTCAGAAAAGGGAAAACAAAGTCGCCCTAATTTTCAATAAACGCTTGCAATAAATTTTGAAGTGTCAAGCAGCTCGGTAATCATCTACGCTCCTCCTATTTCAAAGCGATTTGTTAAACGCATTTTCATTGGTCGGTAAAATTGGAAAGCCAATGAAACGCAGCGAGACAATTTAGCGAGTTTTGGAATTGAATGGTTGACATCTTCGGGTATTGTCAAATGCCGACTTATTATCAATAAACAACAAATAAACAGGTTAGCGGCGAATCATGTCAATTAGGATAAATTGGGGGCATACTCATTGCATTAATTAGTCGGTAAGTTTATTGATCTCATTCACACATTTTCTCTTTACAAAAGCGTGTCGCCAAAAGTGTTGGTCACATGTACATGTTTCGATGTTTACAATTGTCTATGGGTCTCTGCTATAAATGTTGGTGATGGTTTATCCATTGATTATTATTCTTTAAAAGAACTTTTTTTAGAACGTTTACAAGTTTACGCCTGCTAGTCATAATCAGAATTGATTGTTAAGCAGTATGATGTAGATGTAAACAAACAATAATACACACATGTCATTTATTGGTTAATTAAGGCATCAAAGCCCTAAGCCTTGTACATTCTTAAATTTTTACTACAAGTACATAACGAAGATTAATGACTCCCTCCCCCAACCCTGGCACAAGGCAAATTTTATCCCAGGGCTAAAATTAAAACAATCTTGGTAGAGGTCGACTACACAATGTTTCATGCCAAATATCTTACCTCTAGTCTTTGTCAATTCAGAGGAGAATATTGTTTAAGTTTTTTTCTATACATGTATATACATTTAAGGAAAACCTAAGACACCCTGGTGCCTGGTAAACCTTGTACCTTCAGACAAGATTTTTTTTAAAGTTTTTACTATATACATACCATATAAGGCCACAGAAAATTAATTTTTAGACTCTCATCCCCGCCCGCCCGTATCAAAATCTTTCCGCCCCAAAATAATTTATTTTCATAAAAAAAAAATTGTTCATTTCCAGGGTTCCCTCTGGGTCAAAATTAGTTTCATCTTCACATGTTCCCGAAGTGTCACACAATTGATGACATAATTGATTATACGGTACCCGATTATACAGTTTGATAAACAAACTAATAGTGCGTGACCTTTCACATTTGGGCCGCTTATGTAATTGACGCGGCCGCTTATGACATTTAAGTTTACTAGTTGTCGGATGCTTTTATCTTACGTTGGCACCAGTTAAATTCGCAAATTAAAGATTTTATGCGCCAGTATTTATATTTTGTCGCATTTGAAGCCATTGGCGATCGACAGCGGGAACCCTGCATTTCGCAGACGTCTGTGGACGAAAATTCGTCCGAAAATCTTGGTTGAATATTCGCGGGACGAACACATAAAAATCAGACTGAGGTTTACAGCGTCTAGTGATCAAGATTTTAAATACGTTCGTTTTCGATCAGTAAAATTATTATTGACAATATATTCATACATTTCTGGTTTTTTTTTCAGGTCTCGGGGCTCATCCGGAAGGGCGATTCAGGCGAAAACTTCGCCGTGTATATTCCAATTTCGCTCTTCCGATTGATCAAAGAGAAGTCAACATCGCCGATAAAATCTTAATTCCCAAATAGTAATTACTTAGCGATGTAAAGAGCAGAGATTGTATCCGCCCATATGACGACCGCTAATTATCATTATCCAATCAGAGCGTCGCTTTATACTACCCTTCTACCTGTAAGCGAAGCGATAGACCGCCTACTCTAAACAGTAAATAATGAGAGCATCGGCCCGAAACGGTATAATTGTGATAGTTTTGCGAGTTTAATACGGGATTTGGCGATAATTATAAATTGTTTTTTCCCCGATTATCTAAACAAGTACAATCTTCCCTAATTGATGTACACGATGCACTTCGATGGTGGGTTTTTAACCCGAGTAAAGGCGATGTGCAATGGATTTTTTACGGCTATCACAAAACTGTTAGTCAATTAAAAATAATCAATTTCATTAATGATCAGCAACCAGATTAAAAACTTAATCATAGTTTTGAATGATTTCAGTCTGTTAACATCAATTTTTACTGTAAAATTAGACTGTACTTCATACAATAAAGCATTTTTTTAAGTTGTAAATTGCCTCCACTGGCACGGAAGTTGCCTGTACTGTAAGCTGTATTGTTTATAAATACGGCTAATATACGAACAAATTATTTTCAAGGGATACTTTTGATTGAATTGTCGATTCCAAAATGGATGGTAGCTGGATTTGTTATTTGAGAAAGGGAATGAACAAATCGTCTGCAAGTCGGCCATTTTATTACTTCATTTTTATCCCTTAACTTTTTCCCTTAATATTTAAGGGAAAAATCGACCAAAGTTAAGGAATTTTTATCCTAAGCCAGTAAGGAGTTTTATGAATAGCAACTAAGGAAATTCTTAAAAACTAAGGGAAATCTTACTTATTTTAAGGGAAATCTTAGAATCTAAGGGAAATTTTTTCCCTTAGGAGCTTTATGAATACGGCCCCTGTTTTACATCTTGTGTTGCTTTACCCAAGCATACCCGTTTTCAAAATACGGAAAAAGAACAAATAGAACATAGACTGATAATTATGATTAAAACATTCCAAACGGTTTAGCCAGTAAGTTGCAGGTAAAATCTAAATCATATCGTTATATATAAACAGCATGCCTTGTCAACAGTCCTAAATTTGTTACATTTTTATATTGCTCTTTATTTTATGTAACCAATAAAATATCAAGCAGGGTAATGCTAGTTATTATCCCCCGCCGATGGAATCAGGAGGGGGATATAGTTTTGGCGTTGTCCGTCCGTCCTTCCGTCCATCTGTCCGTCCGAATTTCGTTTCCGCAGTAGTTCTCTGCAACTACTGGCTGGAATTCAACGAAACTTTATAGGAATCATCAATGTCAAGAGGAGATGCGCATATCGTCAGCTAGTTCCGGTCCGACCCTTTAACTCAGAGTTATGGCCCTTGATTAGTTATGTAGTATGCATATAGAGTGAACATCGTTTCTGGAGTAGTTCTCTGCAACTACTGGCTGGAATACTACAAAACTTTATGAGAATAATCAATATCAAGAGGAGACGCGCATATCGTCGGCTTGTTCCGGTCTGACACTTGAACTCACAGTTATGGCCCTTGATTAGTTATGTAGTATGCATATAGAGTAAAAATCGTTTCCGCACTACTTCTCTGCAACTACTGGCTGGAATTCAACGAAACTTTATGGGAATCATCAATACCAAGAGGAGATGCGCATATCGTCGGCTTGTTCCGGTCAGACACTTTAACTCAGAGTTATGGCCCTTGATTAGTTATGCAGTATCCATATGGAGTAAAAATCGTTTCCGCGCTGACTACTCTGCAACTACTGGCTGGAATTCAACGAAACTTTATGGGGACCTTCAATACCAAGAGGAGATGCGCATATCGTCGGCTTGTTTGGGTCAGAGAGTTTAACTCAGAGTTATGGCCCTTGATTAGTTATGCAATATGCATATGGAGTAAAAATCGTTTCCGGAGAAGTTCTCTGCAACTACTGGCTGGAATTCAACGAAACTTTATGGGAATCATCAATATCAAGAGGAGATGCGCATATCGTCGGCTTGTTCCGGTCAGACCCTTTAACTCAGAGTTATGGCCCTTGATTAGTTATGTAGTATGCATATAGAGTAAAAATCGTTTCCGCACTACTTCTCTGCAACTACTGGCTGGAATTCAACGGAACTTTATGGGAACCTTCAATACCAAGAGGAGATGGGCATATCGTCGGCTTGTTCCGGTCAGACACTTTAACTCAGAGTTTTGGCCCTTGATTAGTTATGCAGTATCCATATAGAAAAATATTTGTTTCCTCGCTACTTCTCTGCTACTACTGGCTGGAATTCAATGAAACTTTATGGGATACTAAGAGATGTGCATATAGTCGCCTTGTTCCAGTCAGATACTTATAACTCAGATTTATGGCCCTTGATTAGTTATGTAGTATGCATACATCTCATTGGCATTTCCAGATTTTACTATTTAACACAAAGTTCTGTTATTGCCCTGAATATTTATCAAGTTCAAAGAATATTACTGTTTATGCCATGATTAATATATAAATAAAGCCTTATGTCTTCAGTTGTTGTGTAATAAACAGTACTCGGCAGGGGATATAAATTCAAAGAATTTGCTTGTTATTTTATAAATAGTATGTTTTGTCAAATATCTGGTTAGACTTGACTTTAAAAAGATCCAAATATTTAATGGACAAATGATAACATTTTAATTAAGTTTATATGACAAAGGAATATATTTTAATTTGAATTCCTTTTAAGTTTATTGAAGGTTTTCAATTGGAATTAAACTTTCATTTCTTTATGATAAGGAGTCTTTCACTTGCGTCAGGTCTGTAGCTATTTTATTGTAAGGCAACAGTTTAATTTACATCTGCTAAATATATAATGTCTATGTCGTTTATTCGTCCACTTGTCTTATAAAGTCAAATCAAATGGTATGATGGCTTCAGTAATCTTTTAACACAAATAAAACACATTATGATTTAAATTCAATTTACTTCTTATTTAAATAATGATAGCAGACAGCATTCATTATCATTTTCAGCAGAAAAAGTTGTGTCGGATTGTAGTGGATCATTCGAGGGATACTGTAACAATAAGCTTGCAACTTTTCTGCAGTTACTGAAAGCAGAACTGAAATCAGAATTCCACACGCCGCATCTATTTATCCAAGCAAATTGCTCGACAAAAGAGAATCACGAATCTAAAGGTAATTATAACATTCAAAATAGTTTCAGAGTCCATTGACATATGGCTTTGAAACTTTGCACACTTGTTCACCATCATGACCCCAACCTGTAAACAGGAGGAGGTAACTCTTATCAAGCATTTTGACAGAATTATGCCCCTTTTTCGACTTAGAATTTACGTTAAAGTTTTTGTAATAGTTCAAATATTTTCAAAGTCCATTGACATATGGCTTTGAAACTTTGCACACTTGTTCACCATCATGACCCCAACCTGTAAACAGGAGGAGGTAACTCTATCAAGCATTTTTTTTACTATCAAGCACTAAGAATAGTCGAGCGTTGCTGTCCTACCGACAGCTCTTGTTTCTTTTCTTACTATGTTGAAAATTCTGGTTGCTATGGCAACACATAGACTGAAAATATGGCAAATTTTACACATAAACTGAATCCAGTGATAACTCGAAAAGTACTGGAAATATTTTTATGAAACTTGACATATGGGTAGATGGCAGTCTTGAGATTATGCAAGCCTTATCTGTTCTTCCTATTTTGAAAAAATATCAGTTGCCTTGGCAACAAATAGGCTTAAAACATGGCAATATAACAATATTTGTGATTAGTCAAAAAGAGCTGAACATTTTTATGAAATTGCATCTTTAATTCAAGAGTTATCTCCTCTTTAAGAATTTTGCTTTTAAAATGGTATATTTTGGTAACAGGGATGTTTCAAATATTAACTTTAGAGTGTCTTTCAGTCCGTCTGTCTGTCTGTTCATAAAAACTGTATCCTATGATCACTTTTAAAGAACTTTTCCAACAAATTTTCTTAAAATAGAGAAAAATTGAAACATTAGTGAATGGCCAATGGCCCTTCAGAATGTTGATGGGGTTCTAACCGGTAGGGGACTTATGGATTGCTTGCAATACTATGATAATTGCTTGTTATTATTATTATTATTATTATTATTATTATAATACAGTAGTGGAGAAAAGAAAGAAGATCAGGTAAAAATGGAAAATTTATCTGAAAATTCCTCGCCGAGTACAGCAAGGGATTCGAGGGAAGTGAGTATAGCTTCTGTAAGTAGGAAATCTAATTTTTTTTTTCAAATATAAAAATGTCATTTTAATTGAAAACATTTACCTTTCTTCATGCATACAAATGATAAGTTTTAACTATATCATTTGTTTATTATTTTTGCTAAATAAATACAATTATTTCCCAAACCAATCATTTGGTCATTGTAATTCAATTCCTATTTAACTTAGCCAAATATTGACCTCTCATAAATATAATTAAATTTATGAGAATGATACTTACATCAACAACATTGTGGGCAAATCCGAGAACGGTGAGTTTTAAATAATTTCTATTACTTACGTAAAATTTTTATCTTAAATTCTTCAATAACTCTTTACCAATATTTTTTTGTTTATTAAGGTTCAGGTCGAAGGTGCCTTACACAAGAATGCATTACTTGCAATCATGTATTCATTGAATGCTATATCAGTTTACCTTGAACTGGCCAGTCTTACTTTGTTTGAAAGGAATTCCTCATTAAGGGTAACATTACTTGAACATTTTCTTACCACTTATTTGAATAAATATTAACCCTTTTTAAATGTGTATTTATGAACCATATCTAATATCAATTTAAATCAATCGAATTTCCGAGAAATATACAAGGAGTGTTCAAAAACATTAACTTGCATATTATGAAATACGATGTTTAAAATTTAGGCAATCACTTTTCTTGCCATTCCCATGGAATACTTACTTTTTCCTAGACATTTTCGTTGATGAATCCGTTTCTGGGAAGGCGTCACAGTACGCTGAGTTTGGTATTCTGTTATGGTACTAACACAAAATGGCAGATCTAAACGTCAGACATGTAAAGTATCTCCGTCCCACGGAGATTTTTTTTTATGCCACCGCAGCATCTGCGATGCGGTGGCATATAGCGATTCACCTGTGTGTGTGTTTGTTTGTTTGTGTGTTATATAGATTATATAGTGAACTTAAAAAATCTTCTTGTGAAAAACCACTAGTCCAATTTCAACCAAACTTGGCAGGATTGATCCTTGGGTGAAGGGCTTCCAAAGTTGTTCAAAGAATTTCATTCCATGCAGAAATCTGGTTGCCATGGCAACCAAAAGGAATTATAAGAATAAATTTAAAAAATCTTCTTGTAAAGACCCAAAAGGCCTAGAGCTTAGATATTTTGCATAAGGCATTGTCTGGTAGACCTCTACCAAGATTGTTCAAATTATAGCCCTGGGGTCAAAATCGGCCCCGCCCCGGGGGTCATTGATTTTCACTATATGTACATATAGTAAAAACTTAAAATACCTTCTTGTAAAGACCCAAAAGGCCTAGAGCTTAGATATTTTGCATAAGGCATTGTCTGGTAGACCCTTACCAAGATTGTTCAAATTATAGCCCTGGGGTCAAAATCGGCCCCGCCCCGGGGGTCATTGATTTTCACTATATGTACATATAGTAAAAACTTAAAATACCTTCTTGTAAAGACCCAAAAGGCCTAGAGCTTAGATATTTTGCATAAGGCATTGTCTGGTAGACCCTTACCAAGATTGTTCAAATTATAGCCCTGGGGTCAAAATCGGCCTGCCCCGGGGGTCATTGATTTTCACTATATGTACATATAGTAAAAACTTAAAATACCTTCTTGTAAAGACCCAAAGGGCCTAGAGCTTAGATATTTTGCATAAGGCATTATCTGGTAGACCTCTACCCAGATTGTTCAAATTATAACCCTGGGGTCAAAATCTGCTCCACCCCGGGGTCATTGGTTTTCCTTTTATGTATATAGTAAAACTTATAGTAAAACTTTAAAAAAAATTCTTCTAGCAATTGACAAAATTTAATGCTAAAGGTTAGATATTTTGCATGAAACATTGAGAAATGAACTTCTAGCAAGATTGTTCAAATTGTAGCCCTGGGGTCAAAATTGCCCGCGCCCCGGGGGTCATTGATTTTCAATATATACATAATAGTAAAAAAAAAAAAATCTTATTATCTTAAGGTACAAGGCTTAGAGCTTTAATATTTGTTAAATAATATCATCTATAGGTACTCTACCAAAGTTGTTCAAATTTTGTCTCTAGTGTCAAAATTAGCCCCGCCCCGGGGGCCATAGGTTTTCCTTATATGTATATAGTAAAAACTTAAAAAATCATCTTCTCTTAATTACAAATGCTAGAGTTAAGATATTTTGCATGAAACATTGTGTAGTGAACCTCTAGCAAGATTGTACAAATTATAGCCCTGGGGTAAAAATTGGCCCCATCCCAAGGGGGTCATTAATTTTCACTTAAATCTTCTTGTCTGAAGGTACAAGGGATGATCAAAAATTAACCGGACTGTGACTGGCAATTGAAGAATTTTTATACTATCACTTATTGTTATATATCACACTTAATCGGAAAACAATACCTGTAAACTGATACTATATCAAATCTGATAACGCAAATAGCTTGTCCGTAACAGCGAATTCAAAAACCATGGTAACGCACACCCGGCGCAGTGCGTAAATTCGCCTTGACATGAGGCGCTTTATGCTGCGTGTATTTTACAATATGGCACATTTAGATTTCAAAATACGCCAAAACGTCATGTACCATATCTTTGACGTTGTCAGTAAAAATGACTTCACTTAAACCATATTTATATTTACAATCACAATTCAAACGTCACATGTTAATGAAATACTCGCGTTAAACTTATGTCGGCGGAATGTCTCGAAAATCGATCAATAGGAAAAATTTGTCAAATGTAAGACGAGAAACTGTTTAAAACGTAGAAAAAGATTATGGCTATCAAGGGAAAAGTTCCAGAAAGCCACAGCATATTTTTTGATTAGCTTAAAAGATTAAGAAAGGATCATAGAGAAATAGAAACAAGTAAGGGAGAGACAGAAAAAAGACATTTTCAAGGACGTTGGTGACGTCAATCGCCAAGACGTTGAAAAATGACAGTCGATTGACTGCGGACATTGTCAACGATGTTTGACAGTAACTACGGGACGGTGCAGTCAACTCTGAGGATCTTAAAATGATAATAGTTAATTCATTAATTACATGTATTGTATTCTTGGTTTACAATTGTATCAATTATTTTCTTATTTTACGCAGTAGTCTTATGGAGAAATTGTGTCAACAATTAGACAGTCACTGTTCAAAATGGCTATGCGTTTTATTTATTTTAAAATAATGACAATTTTGATCATAGTTGTATTATTCTGTTATTTTTTCGTATGTATGATACATTATCATTCAGCAAGATTATTTTACATTATTTTTAATACATAATATAGTTAATTGCATGTGCGGTTTTTTCAACAATCAAGTTACAGAAGGAAATAACGGAAGTTTGCGTCATTACAGGAGCTCTTTATCACCATTCAACCTATTAAATACAATATGATACCTACTTGTACAGAAATATATATAGGCAGTGGATCCGCCGCATAAATAACATGACTGTACCACATATTGGCCTACTCCGTGAATGAGTAAAAATCTGCTCCGTTAAGGACAATACGCTTGTGACGTCGTTAACGTCAATTTTAAAGTTTTACCGTGCGCCGCATTGCTTTACATGTGCATGCCAATAACAGCATAACTTTTGTCTTTGTTAATATTTCTTGTTGGTATTTTTGTATCATTTAGGGGATAGATTCCGATTTATTTTCCGTGTATGTTTATGTAAATTCATTTAACAGGTTAAGAATCATTTACAAAGTCCGGTTAATTTTTGATCATCCCTCGTACAAGGCTTAGAGCTTTAATATTTGGTATATAATATCATCTATGGGTCCTCTACAAAAGTTGTTTTAATTATGCCCCTAGTGTTAAAATTGCCCTGCTCCAGAGGCGATAGTTTTCCTTATATGTATAAAGTAAAAACTTGAAAAATTTTCTTCTCTGAATTGAAAAATCTTCTTCTTTGAATTGACATAGGCTAGAGGTTAAATATATGGCATGAGACTTTGCGAAGTGAACCTTTACCAAGATTGTTCAAGTTATAGCCCTGTGGTCAAAATTGGTTCCGCCCCAGGGGTCATTGATTTTCATTATGTACATATAGTAAAAAAATAAAAAATATTTTTGTCTGAAGTTATAAGACATAGAGCTTTGATGTTTGCTATATAATATCATCTATAGGTCCTCTACCAAAGGTGTTCAAATTTTTCCCCTGGTGTCAAAATTGGCCCTGCCCGGGGGCAGTGATTCTCATTATGTACACATAGTAAAAACAGAAAATAAAACAAATGTTTTCTGAATGGGAGAAAGCTACAGCTTAGATATTTGACTTGAAATGTTGTTTGGTGGACCTGTATCAAGATTGTTTTGAATTAAACCCTTGGGTCCAAAATTTTGCCTTGCCCAAAGGGGACAGTGACCTACTTTCTTGTCCTTTGATGTACAGCAATGAAATTTTGACCATGTGCACAGTTTTAGTTGTAAAATTGAACTTTGATATCAGGTGACCTAGATTTTGATGATGTGACCTACTTTCTTGTCCTTTGATGTACAGCTATGAAATTTGAACCATGTGCACAAATTAAGATGTAAAGTGAACTTTGATTTCAGCTGACCTAGATTTTGACAAAGTGTCTTACTGTGTTGTCCTTTGATATAGTCATGAAATTTAGGCTGTGTGAAATATGACCTTCACCACCAAATTCACTAGACTCGCATGCATTGATATATTCCTACTCTGATCTTTTATTGAGTTAACAACAGATTTAACCACTAATCTGATAATAAGAATTAGATTATTTATAAGGTCAGGGATCTATGCATTATGACAATCTTCAAAATTGAAACAAACAAAAAATCTGTTCCTACACTACTATTTAGTATTGTATTAATGCGGTGGCATAGCATTTTTCTCAAATGCAATCTTGTTTAATTACTGAAAGTCATTTGTATAAAGTTACGAGATGTGGCATTATGGTGTAAAAGACTTTATATTTTATTCTTAAGATATTTGTTTCAATGTAACGAAAACTTGATGGTCAAATACCAACTATTTGTGTAATATCGCGAACAGTACATCGCAGGCATGTCACTTTTTCACTTTTGATATATTTTGGATACCAGATGCACACTTAAGCATTCCTGATTCCAGTGCATTTTCAATAAAATCTAATCAAGAATCCAAATTCGTTTCTTTTGTCTGCTCATAGAAAACATAAGAGGTTGACGTGTAAATATCAGATTCTTCAGCAAATATGTCCTTCATTTTACTACAATACTTAACGAGTACGAATTCAAATTCAAAAACCGTATTGTTCACATGTAAACTATTGAGCAGCTGTATACAGTTTGAATTGATGTGTTGCCATTTCCTTGAGGATTTTGTGCAACAGAACCGTAAGCAATTCTTTTTGATCACTCCTTGTAGTAAGGTTAGCATTTTTGCCATTTAAGCTGATTATTAGAAAGCGCGTGGTGATTGACTCCTAATCATCGTTAAAAGTAAGAAAATATATATATGGCACTGATGGCGTTTAGTCTGTATACATAAATGTATTGAAAGCTATGTAGGAGCACAATTGTCTCGGAGCACATTTGTCTCACGAGGTGTGACCGATATGCTCGGAAACAAATTGGAAATGACACAGATATGTTCGACACACAATAGAAAGGACACGGGAAGCACATTAGTATCACATTCTTCCATAAAATTCTAAAAAGGTAATAATTATGCCCGTCCGTATACCGGCTACCAGCCATTGTTCTGTGTTTTATTTATTTCTAATACCTTTTTTAGGTCACTTCCGGTCAATCAAAAACTTCATGCCACTGCACGAGAGTCATATATTAACTGAAAGAATATCTGTTCTGCATGTCACAATGAAAATTTCTACCAGTGCAGTATCCACAACCTAAACACATATGCAGCGAATCCATTTTTAGCTCGACTTTTTTTTTTTTGAAAAAAAAAAGTAGAGGTATTGTTATAGTCAGGTCGGCGTTGCCGTTGCCGTCCGAAAACTTGTACCTGGATCATAACTAGGGTTTCATAATCGGACAAAAATCATAATCGATCATCGGTTATAATCGGTCAGCCCTTTTCGATCAATCATCGATTATATAATCGAAACCATTTACAATAACAAAATAACATGGTTTAATAAAGAAGAGTTTTATTTATAATATTAAATTTTCTATTATATATTACTGTATTAATATTTTATATATAGTGCAAAAATACACTTATTTACTGAAGTATTTTGCTAAGAAACAAATAATATCAACATTTATAATTGTTACCACTAGTTACCAAGCAAATAATTTTCATCAAAATGATTGTTTCTTCTCAAAAATGATACCCTACCACCCTCATTTTTTACACATGTTTTATGATTAATTTTATGTTTTACATGTATTGTATTATGACTATATACAAAGATGTATATGTCAAATAAATTATATCTACAGTTTCTACCTTATTCTTAAGTATTCTCAAAACTTGTTTATGTTAACAAAGAGACTGTGCAGCAATTATTTATATTTCATACATTAAATTTGAGCATATTACATCTAACAAAGGTAATGCATTACACTGTTCAAAACTTGCTAAAGTTGGAAGTTCATAAGTATTTAACATTAACACATTAACTGAAACTTTAAACTAGTTAAAACTTAAAACTTTAATGTTTTGTTGTCAAGTTAATGACAGCTATTAACTGATTTTAACACTATGGTCACCAGTATGTTTCCATGTTCATCTTCATAAAAATTAACGTATCAACCAAATCTGGCTTTAATCTAGATCGTTTTTTGTCAACAACAATACCAGCTAAGCTGAACACCCTCTCACTTGGTACTGATGATGCTGGAACTGCCAAGTACTTTTTGGCTAAAGTTGCAAGTTGTGGATAGAAATAATGATTAGCTTGCCACCACTGCAGAAGCGTCTGCTGCTTTGAACTCTGTGGTTGATTGTGTGAAAAATATCTATGAACCTCCAACTCTATTAAGTTCTGAAGGGGTTGTTGCGACTCTCCTATGAAGCATACATCGTCGAACTACTCATCCATATCAGTTAATTTCATTTTCTTTTCACTAGGACCCTCCTTTTCACATTCAAATTTAACATTCTGGTCAGACTCTAGGTCTATGTCAGGTAACACTGGTAAGTCAGGTAAATTGGCACTAACAGCCTCTTCTTGTTTACTTTAACATTTGGAAGGGCAGCATTATCAACCTTTAAATTTAACGCAGTGTCCATTAGCAACTGACGGGCAGACACTTGTTCCTCCGCTGTCAAGAAATTGAGATTCTTGGTATCTGGATTTAATAGAGCTGCCAGGAGGGGTACATCCTCCACCTGAGTCCTTTTTAAACAGTTCCTCTTTCATTTTCAAAATAACTTTCTTAACAACAGGAGATGTTAAGGGATTACTCTCAACATCTTCCAACTTCTTTTTTGATTTTTACCATACAAGGAAGCACTTTATGCATAGTAGGACTAGATTCTGCACACAAAATTGTTGTTGCGGTTTCAAAGGGTTTTAAAACAGAAATGAGTTCCTGCACCACAGAATGTTCTTCAGATGTTAGACAGTAGGTTTTTACAGTGCTTATTGCAGTTTTGTTTAGACAATTTGTATCAAAGATAATACTCATTATAGCAGGAAGTTGTTCTGCCAATCTGCCAAGCATTGCCAGTGTACTATTCCAACGTGTAGGAACGTCAGTTATCAGTTTATGTCCAATCAAACCTGGTGTGTTTGAAAACACTAACTTTTGTTTTTCAATTAAAGCATCAGTGGCGCTTGTTGATTGATGAAAAAATGTTACAAGTCGTCTTGATTTACCCAAAATCTTGTTCAACTCAGTTACCTCAAGAGCATGTTTGACCACTAAATTAATACGGTGCCCGTAGCACCCGAATCGTGTCCATCCAAGGAGTTCAGCAGCCTTTCGTTCGTTAGCAGCATTATCAGTTACTAATGTAAGTGATGTTGGTAGTTTCCACTTGGTCTGTACTTCTACAAAAAAATAATAAAATAACCTCCCTCAGTTAATACATTCAGAAAATTTCTAATTCAAAATTCAAGACTTTTTTGTTTTTCATTCAGTTTTTTTTATAATTGAATAACCTTAATTGTATAGTTATATTCAAACTTAAATGAAATTAAATTATCAGACTACAAACTTTTAAGCATTATTATACTCAGCAAGTAAATATTTAAAATGGACTTGCCCTTCTTTCAATTTTGGACAAAAATATTTATCCATTTTCTTGGGAAATTAAATGTTTTTATTGCACTTTTAACTTGTAACAGGAGAGTAAATGAAAAATAATATCATAGGCTTCATAGCAGCTGCAATATTCAGTCAATACAAAATGAAGGGGATTTATAAAGAATTAGAAGAAATACTACCTTTTAAACCTTCAGCTATTTTCTCTGAAGTGTGTGAACCTTCCACCTTCTTAGTCTGCAGCACGGCTGATTTTAGATTCCACTTATCATCAATAAAGTGTGCTGTTACAGCTGAATAGCTCTCTGTGGCACAGCTTGTCCAGCCGTCGTGTGTTATGGCTACATCTGATACAGATCCAAGGTCAAGCTTAAGGGTTGAACGCATCTGGTCTTTCTTCGTGTTTAAAGACTTCACAACATCTTGCTGAGACGGTAACTTGTACCTTGAAAATAAAACAGGATATTTTTGTTAAATTAAATTTACAGCCTTCACATTCTGTGAATTGGTAACAGCAGTTGAAAATAGCCAGACCTTGCAAAGTAGAAGTACATGAGAAATCCAATTTAATTACTACCTAATAATTAATGATCATTGATTAACAATTTAAGCTTTCAATTTGCAAAAAGGTATCTTGCATTTCCACTACCTTCTATATAACAAAAACTAGTTACATCATTTCTGTTTTCCATTTTATTCAAAACCTCAAAAGTGAATCTCATTCAGGCCCACTGTATTTCATTTAAATGCTCATTTGTAAATTAAATTGAATAACTTGTAAGTATAAATTGTTCTGCAATTAATTTTTAAAAATTGCTATTAGATAAAGTTACCTTGGGTCTAGTAATTTGGTAAATTCAATGAAGTGTGGATTTTTCACAAGGCTGATTGGAAGGGCTTTTCCTACAATTAACTTTAATAATGCATCGTCTAAGTTGGTTCTACTCGTCTGTGTAAGACGACCAGGGTTGGCATTCAGAGCCTGAATTGTTGGCTGGGTGGGTGCTTTTTTAATGTTATTATTTTCATCCCCAGAAGCAGTCCTTTTATGGTCGTGATCAATATGGAATAGCAAATTTGTTGTATTTCCTGAAAATAGAGAAAGAAATTAAATTTGAAATATAAGTACATTTTTAGTCATTTTATTTTAACTTAAAAACATCTGAAGTTCTTCATAATAATGTATGGCTGGAGGTATGATTAAACAATCAGTGGCTGCATGTATGGATTCATATTCTACTAAAAAAAAAATACAAAATACAAAGTTGACTTAAGAATTTAAAATGAATTAAATCAATACCCTAAGCCTGTGGGATTGAAGACCAGTTTTCGTAAATAACCCACTATTCATAATTTCAAACCAGAAAATACACCAACATCCTTTAATTATGATTGAGTTATAAATAGTAGTTATAAAAGCCCACAATTTTACATTTTCTAATCTTAAACAAATTCCAGTCTAAAGAATTTTTTGTAAGCTCAGGTAAATTGGCATTAACAGATGCTTAACAATATCATATTGAAATTTGCTTTTTGCAATTTAGAATATGACGCTTTTTAGTGAGACCGCATATTTATAATAATACGTGTATTTTTGTTGACAGTCAAAATTCCCCCTTTTCTTCAAAGTATGCAAAGTTTGCATACCCGAGGGTTCTGGTCCAAAAATGGTCATTATTGACCTTTTATAGTTAAAAGAATACAATATTTAAATATAGCTTTGCACTTAATTTACGCAACATTTTACCTTTATTAGCGTTACGATTTTTTGCAAAGTTTACAGATGGCTGTGTTCATGTTCAAGTTCGCTTTTATTGCTGGTCCAAGCCCCTTTTTCGTGAATCCAAAATACTTCCACACAATGGATCGCGTTTTTCCTGGGTAATTGAACAAGACCTGGTCCTCATGTTCCATATTTTTTGTTAGGTTTTCTTGCGATAAGTTTTCTATTGCATGCTGCGAGTCCGACGCCATTTTTTTTCCGATACAGTGATCTCCCTTGTGAGCCGCTTAAGTAACAGGAAGAAAAAAAACTACCGACAATCGATTATAAAATTTCGCATTCGATTGTCGCAGACCTCGCCCTTAAACGATCAATTTTCGATTATACTCGATCATCGTTTAATCCCTAATCATAACTATTTTATTTCTTGGTGTATTGTCTTCATACTTGGCCACAACAACCCTTGGGACAAGACCTTTCAGTAGACCACACTAACCTTGACCTTCATCCATAAATGACCTTGACCTTCAAGGTTAAAAGTCCAATTTTTGCTTGTTCATGCTGTTATTGGCTGTAACTTTGTTATTTTTGAATGGATTGTCTTCAAACTTGAACATAATAATCTTCAAGGATATCCTTTAAAAATAACCAGTCAGACCTTGACCTTCACTCATCAATGACCTTGACTTTGAAGGTCAAATTATTGAAATTTTCATTTTTTTGGCTATTATTGGCTGTAACTTTGTTATTATGCCCCCCTTCGAAGAAGAGGGGGTATATTGTTTTGCTAATGTCGGTCTGTCTGTCTGTCGGTCCGTCGGTCTGTCCGTCGGTAGACCACATGGTTTCCGCTGATTATCTTGAAAAGTATTTATCACAAAGTCTTCATATTTCACATAGTGATTGGTCATAACTAGTAGATGACCCCTATTGATTTTGGGGTCACTAGGTCAAAGGTCAAGGTCACAGGGACCTTAAATGTCAAAATGGTTTCCGCTGATTATCTTGAAAAGTATGTATCACAAAGTCTTCATATTTCACATAGTGATTGGTCATCACTAGTAGATGACCCCTATTGATTTTGGGGTCACTAGGTCAAAGGTCAAGGTCACAGGGACCTTAAATGTCAAAATGGTTTCCGCTGATTATCTTGAAAAGTATGTATCACAAAGTCTTCATATTTCACACAGTGATTGGTCATAACTAGTAGATGACCCCTATTGATTTTGGGGTCACTAGGTCAAAGGTCAAGGTCACAGGGGCCTTAAATGTCAAAATGGTTTCCGCTGATTATCTTGAAAAGTATGTATCACAAAGTCTTCATATTTCACATAGTGATTGGTCATCACTAGTAGATGACCCCTATTGATTTTGGGGTCACTAGGTCAAAGGTCAAGGGCACAGGGGCCTTAAATGTCAAATTGTTTCCTATGATTATCTTGAAAAGTATGTATCACAAAGTCTTCATATTTCACACAGTAATTGGTCATAACTAGTGGATGACCCCTATTGATTTTGGGGTCACTAGGTCAAAGGTCAAGGTCACAGGGACCTTAAATGTCAAAATGGTTTCCTCTGATTATCTTGAAAAGTATGTATCACAAAATCTTAATATTTCACACAGTGATTGGTCATAATTAGTAGATGACCCCTATTGATTTTGGGGTCACTAGGTCAAAGGTCAAGGTCACAGGGGCTTTAAATGTCAAAATGGTTTCCGCTGATTATCTTGAAAAGTATGCATCACAAAGTCTTCATATTTCACATTGTGATTGGTCATCACTAGTAGATGACCCCTATTGATTTTTGGGTCAAAGGTCAAGGTCACAGGGGCCTTAAATGTCAAAAGGGTTTCCGCTGATTATCTTGAAAAGTATTCATCACAAAGTCTTCATATTTCACCTAGTTATTGGTCATAAGTAGTAGATGACCTCTATTGATTTAGGGGTCATTAGGTCAAAGGTCAATGTCACATGGGCCTTAAATGTCAAAATGGTTTTCGTTGATTTTTCCATAATTGAACACTTCCATGTACCCTTTTTTGGCAAGTTTTTGTAATAAAATTACCAATTATGTGAGTCAATGGCTAGAAAGGGGGGTATATGTGTCGTTCGACATTCTTGTTTTTGAATGGATTGTCTTCAAACTTGAACATAATAACCTTCAAAGATAACTGTTAAAAATATACCGAAAGACCTTGACCTTCACTCATTAATGACATTGTCTTTGAAGGTCAAATTATTGAAATTTTCATTGTTTTGGCGGTAACTGACTGTAACTTTGCTATTTTTGAAGGGATCAACTTCATATCATAACAGAACATTCTTAAGGACCAGACCTTGTTGTTTATCAAACCCAAATTTGCTTGGGCTCTTTAATGACCTTGACCTTGAAGGTTATATTACTGAATTTTCTCAGATTGTGCATTTATTGGTGTGTGTGTATGTATAGTATATGTATTATATATATATATATATATATATATATATATATATATATATATATATATATATATATAATGTGTGTGTGTGTGTATATATATATATAAATATATATATATATATATATATATATATATATATATATATATATATATATATATATATCAAATAGATATATACAGTCCAACCCCGTTTATTCGAAGTGTCTCGGACTGAATATTTACTTCGAATAATCGATGGGTTCGAATAATCGAAATCCGAATATTGTGATAGACGAAAATTACTTCACTTTGACCAATCGTGGCAAAATTACCGTTTACAACACACTTTCTTCCTGTAATCAATTGAGAAAAATAAATATTAAAGAAGAGATGCGTAAAAATTATTGTATATAATAGACATTGAAGACATAAATACTTGCATTTTATTCTACATTATGTATCGTTTCGTTTCGCGCAAAGCCTTGATAATGGCCGTGTTGTCATTGCGGTATATACAGCTAAACTCTGGTACTTTGGATTAGGAAAAAGGCTCTCATGTAGCGTTACAATTAATATAAAAATTGTTTTGGATGTTTTGACAAATTTACATAAACGTTATGTATGAAAATTATTGCTGTCATCTTCAAGCAATAACAGTAACAACATCGGACACGGTGCATATCTTTTCACTTTCGGTAATAAAAGATGATTAAAGAACACACAAAGCGTAATTATCATGATTGTCTAAATACACGCATGACTGTTGACATTTTTCACAAGTCGACCGGTCAGCTAGTGGATCTGCGCCAATTAGGCTGGCTTCGAATAATAATTAGTCTGGCTTCGAATAATAGGTGTGGAATTCTGACATAATTGTAAAGTCGGGTCCCAAATTCTACTTAGAAAAATAGGAAGTTTTCGGATAATGCATTTCTAATAATCGATCTAATTTATATTAATTTATATAGAGATAAAAACGGAACAGCCAATCTACTTCGGATAATGCCGGGTATTCGAATAAAGGGTTGTCGAATAACCGGGGTCGGACTGTACATACATATATATATATATATATATCAAATAGATATATACATACATATATATATATATATATATATTGTATATATATATAAATTGCGTCATTTTTTCTATTTTTAGAAATTGCATCATTTTTTTCTATTTTTGAAAATTGCGTCATTTTTTCTATTTTTAGATTCTATTTTTTAGAAATTGCGTCATTTTTTCTATTTTTAGAAATTGCGTCATTTTTTCTATTTTTAGAAATTGCATCATTGTTGCTATTTTTAGAAATTGTTGCTATTTTTAGAAATTGCGTCAATTTTTCTATTTTTAGAAATTGCGTCATTGTTGCTATTTTTAGAAATTGCGTCACTTTTTTATTTTTAGAAATTATGTCTTTTTTTGTATTTTTAGAAATTGCGTCATTTTTTCTATTTTTAGAAATTGCGTCATGTTGCTATTTTAAGAAATTGCGTATTGTTGCTATTTTTAGAAATATGCTTAACGTTTCTATTCATATACAGTCGAGACTGCCTTAGCGACCCCCTGGTTTAAACGACTCCCTGTCTTATCCGACCTTGTTTCAGTACTCCCAACGTATTTTCCTATATAAATGGTCTGTATTAAACGACTCCCTGTCATATGTGACAAGCGACCTTAATTGGCCGGTCCCAAAGCAATGTTTTGTCTGATTTAAACGACTTTCACACCTTTTAATTATCCGTTAATCAGATAAAGAATACCTATTTTAACACCCAGAGGGCCAAAATAATTAAGTCCAATTATAATCCAGCACTTAGCAAACAAAGTCTTCACACCTCCATCTCAATTACACAATTAGCATGTATATAGATACATGCAGGTACCAAGTGACGTAGCGTCTGTTCATGGAAAGCATGATGCGATCGATGTGTGTGTAATGTACAAAATGGCCTGAGTACTTGTGTTAGATTTTTTTTAATTATAGAGTGCACACGGAAGATTTTTTAGGCAGCATTTTTTTTAATTTACCTTTCTATGGCTGCATAATTTATACGGAAAATATTGATACCAAAAAATATTGATACCGAACCAGAAAAAGCTTTGGATATGGACAATTGTTAAAAGATCCTGTAACACAATTTTTTCATGGTTTTATTTCATAAATATGATGCTCAAATTAAGATTTGTCAATATTGTAAGTTCAAATAAGCATTATTTGTAAAGATATCACCCAATTTAACATTTCATGTAAATAAAGGCCATTAAAGGGAGGTAATTAGAACCTTATTTTCTATAAATTCTAAGTCAAATTTTCCAATAAGAAATCAATGCATGTAATTTATTGATTAAATATATTGCGTTTAGAAAAAGTAAAAAGTCGAGCGTTGCCCCCGCCCGGCGGTGGCTCTTGTTAGAAATTGCGTCACTTTCATATTTTTAGGAATTGCGTCATTTTTTCTAATTTTAGAAATTGCGTCATGTTGCTATTTTAAGAAATTGCGTACTGTTGCTATTTTTAGAAATATGCTTAATGTTTCTATTCATATATATACAAAATATATAAAGAAAACTAATGTGACAAGACAAACCAACTAAATTTATAAAAAGGAAACGTTAATATATGTTCAAACCTTTCTATGTTTTCGTTTAGAAAAAGTAAAAAGTCGAGCGTTGCCCCCGCCCGGCGGTGGCTCTTGTTATTTCACTCGTTAAACTTACCAGTCATAAATATACATGTAGGATTTACTTCCCTTTGTTTACAATCGGACTCGCCGAGGCGCATGCGTAAACTAAAAAGCAAGCGTCCATAGGACCGGTAAAAGAATGCGCCCCTCAGTTTTACTTTTAGCGTGAAAACAATTGGACGTTTCACTTATGCTCGCTTGTTACAGCGATATAGTTTCTTTTGTTGGACTTTTATTTATTTGTTTTTTGTTTATTATGGCTGAAGCAGCGGTTCGGGCCGCTAGTGATAAGGATGACAGTTTTATTGATACCGAAAAAAGTGACAAATCTTCGACTTCAGTGAAATCGGTTAATTCGAAATCGAACACTAAACCACGTCCTTCGTCTAGTGGTTCAAAATGCAGTGTCAAGGATTTGGATAAAAGAGTTTCGGATATGGAACGTAAGTTTGACTCTGGCTTTGAAAAACTTTTTCAGTCTTTAGAAGCTTTAAAATCTACGTCACAGTATACAGAGGGTTCAGCCCTGCTGAGAACTGTTGATAATATGGGACAGCACACAGTGGGTTCAGCCCAGCTGGGAGCTGTTGATGAGGGTAGTAGCACTTTGGCTCACAGACCTCGTAGATGTATGAACATTAATGATGATGCTGTTACAGATGATATTTTGTCCTTGCATCCTAGAGATCAAGAGAGACTTGACAGTTTTGGTCTTTGTGATGATGTTGCCTCAATTCATTCATCTATTTCTGACAGTTCAGCACCTCGTAATGATGCTTTTCAGGGGTATTTAAATCCAGAAACTCCTATTATGTTACAAGAGTTATTTGGCTCAGATAGTTCACAACATGATGGTGCTTCTAGTGGTTTAATTTTAGATGATTTACAAGTGTCTATACTTAATAAATCATGGAGAGCACAAAATCCGGAGCGTATTTCGGCTTATAAAGAAGAATATAAATCTTGCTTTCCTGTTCACGAGAAAAGTGTAGAATTTCTAGGGGTTCCTGGATTGGATGAATTATTGGAACCTATGCTACAAAAACGACATGGTGCAAAAATGACAAAAGCATGGGGTAAAAGCAGACAATTGTGCACTCAACCATTAAAGTCAATTGAAACACTAAATTACCAAGGACAATTAGCGTCTAGGTTGAACATTATTGCTATTTCTTATATTCAAAAGAGTTTAGGTAGCTTATTGTCTACTCTTAAGGAAAAAGAACCAAATATGGACAAAGCAGTTCAAACTGTTAGAGATATTTTTGAAATGTCGTCAAAAGCCTTGGATCAAGCTGGAAGATCAGGGGCGTTTCATCATCTTTCCCGTAGGAAGGCCGCAGTATCAGATTCGGGTTTAAATACATTGAAAGACATTCAGTCAAAAGTTATGTATTTGCCTCTTACGGCAGATGGTGTGTTTGGTTCGGGTCTGCAGTCTAAATTAAAAAATAGGAAAGAACAAAAAGACCAGTTAACAGACTTAGTTCCAGAATTTTTTGAAAGGCAGAAAAGGAAACCTGAGACTTCATATGAAAGGTCAAATTTTAAGAAGGCTAAAGTACAGCATAACACTGGAGGGCAAAGACAGTCTTTTCCATACAATGTATCTAACAGTAGGACTTTTCCATTAAGTGGAAATAAAGAAAATAGACAGAAAGATTTCAAGTCTCAAAGTGTGAAACCTAGAAGCACTGGTGCTATACCTACTTTTCGTATCCCAAAGAAACAATGACCAGGTAAGAAAAATTCTTTGTCTAGAACCCCAGATACCTGTTGGGGGTCGTCTCAGATTTTTTGTGTCAATGTGGGAAAAGATAACCACAGATCAATGGGTAATTTCAGTAATCAGAGAAGGTTACAAACTAGAATTCGAGAAAATTCCTGCATTTATGGGTGTTCGACATACTGTCGTTCCCCAAAAAGATATTCCTATAATTTCAAAAGAAATTTCTTCTTTAATAGAAAAAGATGCTGTAGAAATGGTTCCATTAAATCAACAAAATCAAGGTTTCTACAGTACATTATTTCTTGTCCCCAAGAAAAATGGGGAGTTAAGACCTGTTATAAATCTGAGACCTCTGAACAGGTATCTGGTCAAGAAACATTTCAAAATGGACACATTATCGAAAATAATAAATCTAGTAAAGCCAAACGATTGGGCATTTTCAATAGATCTCAGCGACGCATACATGCATATCCCAATTTTCCCAAAACATCGCAAGTATCTAAGGTTTGCATTTCAAGGGAAATGCTATCAGTGGAAAGTAATGTGTTTCGGCCCTACTGTAGCACCAAGAGTGTTTACGAAAATTGTGTCAGTAGTTGCAGCTCACTTAAGAACACAAAACATACGTCTAGCAGTATACCTAGACGACTGGTTATGTTTAAATCAAATACATCAGCATTTACTCAAAGATCAGTATGTTTGCCTCAATCTCCTCATAAAACTAGGATTTTTGGTGAATCTAGAAAAGTCAAATTTGATACCTCAACAGATAATAACATACATTGGGGCAGTATTCAATCTGAAATTGGGTCTTATTCTTCCAACAGAAGAGAGGTTTTTGAAAATTCAGAATGCCATCTTGGACTTAGTCAATGGCAAGAACAAAGCTCAAAATTTCCTTCATTTATTAGGTCTCATGGCTTCTTGCTTGGAACTTATTCCAAATGCTCGACTTTTCATGAGACCTATTCAATTACATCTGCTCAGTTTTTGGAAACCTTCAAGTCATTCATTGGACATGATCATTCCATTTACTCAACATCTTCAATCACATCTAAGATGGTGGTTAAATCCAGCCAACATTTTCAAGGGTCGCTCATTACATCAGACTTTATCAGAAGTAATAATAACCACCGATGCCTCCAAGAAAATGTATGGAGGGCATCTAGGGAACCAATATTTTCAGGGAACATGGTCATTAGATCAAATCAATTGGCACATAAATTCTCTAGAAATGGAAGCTGTCTTTTTAACAGTAAGCCATTTTCTAAGTCAGATTCAGGGGAAATCAGTGTTGATCAAAACAGACAACACGACTGTTGTACAATACATAAACAAACAAGGGGGAACAAAATCAAGCAAACTTTGCATTCAGACTTGGAAATTATGGACATTAGCTATTCAAAACAACATTTCATTGAGGGCAGTTCACATAGTCGGAACACAGAACATTTTAGCAGATCAATTGAGCAGACACAAAATAAGGGCAACAGAATGGTCCCTGAATCCATTTGTTGTTCAGAAAATTTTTCAATTATGGGGAACTCCTCTAATAGACCTATTTGCATCAGTAGACAATCATCAGACTCCATTTTTTTGCTCCTGTTTTCCGACCAATCGAGCATTTGCGATAGATGCTCTGAGTATTTCATGGGAGAACATGTATGCGTATGCTTATCCGCCTCTATGCCTGATACCGAGAATACTGACATATATACAGCAGTTCCATTGTCAAATTATACTCATAGCTCCTCAGTGGCAAAGAAGACATTGGTATCCGGAAATTCTGAACTTGTTAGTAGCATGTCCCCTAAGACTACCTGTAATTCCAGATCTACTAGTTCAACCAAAAACTCTGATAAAAGATCCGAATCCGGAAATTTTTCATTTAACAGCTTGGCTGTTATCGACAGACAATACGAAAAGACTGGATTTCTGAAAACACTAGAAAATTGCTCAAAGCAGCCTGGAGGTACTCAAAGGGACTATGGTAGCAAGTTCAGAGTATTCAATAGCTGGTGTCGTACAAGGAAAGTTGATCCCTATTCTTCATCTCTGATTAATATATCACAATTTCTAACAGACATGTTTCATAAAGGTTTACAGTATAGAACAATAAGTGGTTACAGGTCTATGTTATCAGCTATTCATCCCCCTATTGATGGTCATAAAGTAGGTCAACACCCTTATATAATTCAACTACTTAAGGGAGTTTTTAATTCTAGACCGCCTACAGTCAGATTGATTCCTGAATGGGATTTGCTGAAAGTGTTAAAGGCTTTACAAATAGCACCTTTTGAACCTTTACATAAAGCTCCGTTGAAGGGTTTAACATACAAAACTGTATTTTTATTTGCAATAACTACTTTCAGGAGATGTAGTGACTTGCAGTCTCTGAAGTTAGGAGAAGGTTCAGTAAATATTCAACAGAAAGGTATCACCTTTATTCGTCATGGTTTAGCTAAACAGGACAGACCATCACATTTTGGAGCAACTATTTTCATACCATCTTTTCCAGAAAATAAGAAATTGGATCCTAAAAGGTGTTTATTTTATTATTTGAAAGCAACTGAAAAATATAGAAAGTCTGGGACTGGTGAAGATGAAACAAAACTATTCCTTGGGTTAAATGAGCCACATAAACCAGTTAGTTCTCAAACGTTATCAAACTGGATTGTTCAGACATTAAAGTTAACACTTCAAGATGATAAGGTTAAAGTTAAAGCTCATAGTACCAGAGCTATTGGTCCATCTTTTGCATTGTTATTATCCCTCGCCGAAAATTTGGCGGGGGATATAGAAATAGTCTCCGTCCTTCCTTCCGTCCGTCCTTCTGTCCGACATTTTTGTCCGGAGCATATCTCTAAAAGTATTTTGAGTAATCAACTTGAAACTTCAAAGGTGGATAGACCTCATTGAGGAGGAGTGCAGTGCACAAGAATGATAACTCTACCCTGCATAATTTTTGAGTTATTGCCCTTTGTTATTTTTCAAAATTGATTTTTGTCCAGAGCATAACTCCAAAATCCTATGAGATATCAACATGAAACTTCATAGGTGCATAGATCTCACTCAGGAGGTGTGCAGTGCACAAGAATGATAACTCTACCTTTCATAATTTTTGAGTTATTGCCCTTTGTTATTTTTCATACTTAATTTTTCACCTGAGTGGAGCATAACTCAAAAGTGTTTGACATATCAACATGAAATGTCATAGGTGGATAGATCTTATTGAGGAGGAATGTTGTGCACAAGAATGATAACTCTTCCCTTTACAATTTTTGAGTTATTGCCCTTTGTTCTTTTTCATGCTATTTTGTCCAGAGCTTATCTCAAAAAGTATTTGAGGTATCAACTTGAAACTGCATAGGTGGATGGATCTCATTGAGGAGGAGTGCAGTGCACAAGAATGATAACTCTACCCTGCATAATTTTTGAGTTATTGCCCTTTGTTATTTTTCAAAATTAATTTTGTCCAGAGCATAACTCAAAAAGCCTTTGAGATATCAAAATGAAACTTCATAGGTGCATAGATCTCACTCAGGAGGTGTACAGTGCACAAGAATGATAACTCTACCTTTCATAATTTTAGAGTTATTGCCCTTTGTTATTTTTCATACCTAATTTTTCACCCGAGTGGAGCATAACTCAAAAGTGTTTTGAGATGTCAACATGAAATGTCATAGGTGGATAGATTTTATTGAGGAGGAATGCTGTGCGCAAGAATAATAACTCTTCCCTGTACAATTTTCGAGTTATTGCCCTTTGTTCTTTTTCATACTATTTTGTCCGGAGCTTATCTCAAAAAGTATTTGAGGTATCAACTTGAAACTTCATAGGTGGATGGATCTCATTGAGGAAGAGTGCAGTGCACAAGAATGATAACTCTACCCTGCATAATTGTTTAGTTATTGCCCTTTTTTTATTTTTCAAAATTAATTTTTGTCCAGAGCATAACTCAAAAGGCCTTTGAGATATCATTATGAAACTTCATAGGTGCATAGATCTAACTCAGGAGGTGTGCAGTGCACAAGAATGATAACTCTACCCTTTATAATTTTTGAGTTATTGCCCTTTGTTATTTTTCATACTTAATTTTTCAATTCAATTTTTTTCTCAAAAAGTATTTGAGGTATCAACTTGAAACTTCATAGGTGGATAGATTTTACTGAGGAGGGATGCATCACACAAGAATGATAACCTACCCTGCATTATTTTTCAGTTATTGCCCTGCCATCAGTATTCACATAGGTTTCAAATCTGTAATCACTATAGCCATCAGTTTTCATTACCAAAAGACCTCTTAAAATGGAATTATTCTGCTTTACTACATATACATTCTTCCTATGAGCAAACACATTCGGCAGGGGATGGCCATGTTGACATGGCTCTTGTTCAAGGGTGCATCAATTGAATCAATTTTAGCTTCAGCAGACTGGAGTAGAGAGACTACTTTTACACGTTTTTATCTAAGAAATGTAAATAGTACTTCAACAGTGTTGAAAACTTGAAATAAGTTTTTTGAACTAAGATTAAATTTTAACTTTTAGCGAGTCGCTATATCAACTTATTGAGGGATTTTTCATATTTTATGGCACTCGATAAGTGCATTGGTATATACATATATACATATATTGTGTACATTAGTGAAGATAGTGTTCTGAGAATATAGTGGACATAGTGTTATACAAGTGGAAACAGTATTGACAGTGTTGTTCTGTACATTTATACAAGAGGAAACAGATATTCTGTACATAGTGGAGAATAAAGAATGGACTTTTTCATGTACATAATGGGAACAGATACATATTTGTTGCATAAAGAATTTTGTCAGTAGATATTACCCTACACCACCATCAGAGGTGAGTATTGCTTTGAAATCAATCCTACATGTATATTTATGACTGGTAAGTTTAACGAGTGAAATAAAATTGAAAAATTTGTAATCAAGTTAAAATTTTATGAATAAGTTAAACTTACCAGTCATACTAGTTTCCCACCACCACCCCTTGGTAATATTCGGATGGTGTAATTGTTTTCACTTAATCAGTAAAACTGAGGGGCGCATGCTTTTACCGGTCCTATGGACGCTTGCTTTTTAGTTTACGCATGCGCCTCGGCGAGTCCGATTGTAAACAAAGGGAAGTAAATCCTACATGTATATTTATGACTGGTAAGTTTAACTTATTCATAAAATTTTAACTTGATTACAAATTTTTCAATCTTATCTTTATTTATTACGACACGTTTCTGTCCGATGCTTAAAGTTTTATGAATGATTTAAGAAATATTCTAAGCAACAACAAGGTAGTATCTGCGATGGAATAAAGCGGAATTTCTATTAGGTGCGCATGCAATAGTTATTACATGGCCATGTGATAATATAACATGCGCACGCGATAACTATTACATGCGCATGTGTATAGGTATTCCGCATTTATACCCTGGACGGGCTTCCTAGCATTAATAGCCTGATGCCTCGAGTGTTTGTTGAACATACAGTGTTTAGGTTTAGTGTTTTTTTTTTTGAAATCACTTGGTCACTAAGGTCCCTAAATGATCTAAGAAAGAAAATGAGAAGAGCATCCCACACGTTCTTTGTTTTTTGAAAAAATATCGCCATTTTCCGAGAAATGCTGCTTTCAGATCCACCATTGAATTAGCACTTGCAACGTGCATCAGTTCCTAAATGAATCCGGGTAATGCCATTATTATGGAATATTGGGCCTCGCAGAATCGGGCGAGACTGACATTCAGAGAAGACACGAAGCAAGGCACGATATTGTAACACAATGCACCATGTTACACTGATGAAAGAGCAATAGTATGATGGAACAATGATGAAACAATGATGAAATCACGATGATGCAATGACATGATGGTGAAAACAATATCCCGTTTTATGATCATGCCATCGCAGTTTCATCATCATACCATCAGCGTAACATTACGTTTTCATCATCGTGCTTTCGTTGTTTCACCATTGTACCATCGTTGGTCACCACTGTACAATCGTTATTTGCGTTCGTACAATTGTGGTTTTATCATCATACCATCGTATTTTTATCATCGAACCATCGTGCTTTCATCATTGTACCACTGTGTACGGGATTCTATATGTTTCAGTGTACGCCGTCAGGTTCAGCCACTCAAGTTGCTTGATTGAAAGATATATGAATTAATAGTTCCACTGTAGGTTTTAGGTTTAAGATATTATAAACCTATTGATGATTAAACTCAACATGAAACTCAATTCTAAAAAGTGAATTCTGCCGTGGGAAAATATGTGACAAATAGTTCATAAAAATGACATGTGACAAATGTGCTTTCTTGTCCCAAAAACACATGAGACAAATAGACATTTGACGTCCCATTTGTCTCATGTTGGACAAATGCGACCGCATAGGTCCTACGTAAGACAAATGTGCTCCGAGACAATGTTCTCCTACAAAGCTATATCGATTTTGTTTTATCATCAAAACAACACAGTGAAAAGTGAAATGCATGTACATACGGAAGAATGTATATATTTAAGTTCGAATAATTAAATTATTTTTATAGTTTCACATTTAATATGCCTGCTTTTGAAACACTATCTAACATTTATCAAGGCAATTAATTGAATAATCAGCCTAATGATCATTAACTTTTACATATACATGTGTATAATTCTTTTTTCGAACACTAAATCTTAGAAGTAAAAATATAACATACTAAATTTGGTTATTTGTTACATATTATAGGACGTGTCAAAGAAACAGTTCATCCAATCATTTTGTTCTATTTATGTAGAAAACATAACATACTAATGATATTATAAATTGCATGATTAAATGGAGGAAATGTACATAAAGAAATCAAAAACAACAATATGAATAACATGATATGAACAGATAAAATCTCATTTAGGATATGGAAGTACAAACACATGCTGATGAAGTATTTAAGATAATTGAAGGCACAACAGCTAGAATGACTCTTTTTTTACTTCAAGCATCGGAACATTTTGTGGTAAGAGAACTTTTTTTTTTTAATCTAATAACTGTCTTCTACTTTACATATAATAATCACTGTTTGATTTTAATAAACCACAGAAATACTTATAGAACAGTCTAATGCTAGTTATATGTAAAAATTTGTTTTTCATTTGCAAGAATACATAATGTTATGTGTAATAGTAATATCAGTGGGCGAGTAGTAACGTCTCAAACCATACGCCGTCCGTCACAATTTGGGCTTGTATAACACATCTGGCAAATAATATGTGAACATTTATTCAATTTAACAAGGCTACTCCCCTCTATTTCAAATTCCTGTCATACAAATAATATTTTCGAAAGTTCAATTTGGATGTGAAATGATGAGCCGTTATCAGCAAATACACACTGATTACAATGTTATGACAAATTGCTGATTTGATTGTAATATAAAACTTTATACTTTTTGCGATGAATAGCAACATCATATTTTTTGACATTTTTATCAAATAAGAGTTTTACAAGTTTGATGGCTTATTCAAATTTTAATTAAATGTAAATACATTCAATTTGATAATTAGTATTTTGACTTTTCTACACATAAAATAGATTATCACAAACATTTTCAAAAGAGTTTTGCTTCAGAATATCAAATTGTCAGAATGTTTTGACGTCAATTATTCCATGACAGCCTGATACGGAACAGTGTTGTGAATAATTTCAAAGCCTGGGTGATTTTGTTTAGCCAAATTCAAGGTCTAAGGAAGACATACACTAAAGTTAAAAATCATGCTATAAATCAATACTAATATTAATAATATTTTTTTCGACAGAGAGAAGGGTAAAACGTGTCTTAAAAACTTGCCATAATTGCAAGAAAGTGTAAGTGCACATACTTGTAAGATGTGCAGATGAATAAATCCAGTCTAAACTAGCTATAACTGTTCGAACAAAAAGACAGGAAACACATAATTTGATGTTAAAAAGTTGCAAGGAGTGTTATTCTGAATATTGCGGTGGCACAAAGGTACGGTGGCACAAGGGTGACATGTGTGTGTTTTTAGCTCACCTGTCACAAAGTGACAGGGTGAGCTTTTGTGATCGCTTTTCTTCCGGTGTCCGTCCGTCCGTCGTCTGTCCTTCCGTAAACTTTTACTTTAAATGACATCTCCTCATAAACCACTAAGCCAATTTTATCCAAACTTCACAGGAATGTTCCTTTGGTGGTCACCTTTAAAAATTGTTCAAATAATTTAATTCCATGCAGAACTCTGGTTGCCATGGCAACCAAAGGAAAAAACTTTAAATATCTTCTTTTAAAAAACCATAAGAGCTAGAGCTTAGATATTTGGCATGAAACATCTTCTAGTGAGTGTCTACCAAGTTTGTTCAAATAAAAGCCCTGGGGTCAAAATTGGCCCCGCCCGGGGGGGTCATTGATTTTCCCTATAATTTTTTATGCATATAGTAAAAACTTAAAAATTCTTCTTTTAAAGAACCCAAAGAGCTAGAGCTAAGATATTTAGCATGAAACATGTTCTAATGGGTGTCTACCAAGTTTGTTCAAATAAAAGCCCTGGGGTCAAAATTGGCCCCGCCCCTGGGGGTCATTGATTTTCCCTATATGCATATAGTAAAAACTTATAAATCTTCTTTTAAAGAACCATAAGAGCTAGAGCTTAGATATTTGGCATGAAACATCTTCTAGTAATGTCTACCAAGTTTGTTCAAATAAAAGCCCTGGGGTCAAAATTGGCCCCGCCCCGGGGGTCATTGATTTTCCCTATATGCGTATAGTAAAAACTAAAAAAAATCTTCTTTTAAAGAACCATAAGAGCTAGAGCTTAGATATCTACAAAGTTTGTTCAAATAAAAGCCCTGGCCCGGCCCCAGGGGTGTCATTGTTTTTAACTATATGTGTATAGTAAAAACTTTAAAAAAAAACTTCTTTAAAAAAGCCCAATGAGCTAGAGCTTAGATGTTTAGCATGAAGCATTTTGTTATGGGTGTCTACCAAGTTTGTGCAAATAAAAGCCCTTGGGTTAAATTGGCCCTGCAACGTTGGGGGGGGGGGGGTGTGGGTTTGGGGGGCCTATATACAGGTGAGCGACCTCAGGGCCCTCTTGTTAAGATCAGATTTGAAAAGATGACATTTCTGCTGTATACACAATATAAGTTTTTTTTGGCTTGTTATACCGAAAAAGCTGTTTTACATTACAAATATTGATGAAAATTCTTCTTTTTCAAGCATACTGTATGTGTATTTAAATTCGCGGAAGCAAATTTTCGCGGAAAGGTCTATTTTGGGGGTATATACAAATATTCGCGCTATTTTGAATTCGCGGAGGTGACTTCCGAAAATCATAAATTCGCGTACACCCATCAGGTTAAAAACTAAGGGAAATTACTCTTACATGATAAGCCAATGGTTTTCGCAAGCAGCCTTCTTTCATTTTACATACTTTTTGCAGTAACCATTGTGGGTCTTCACAGTTATTTTCAACACCTGGTGTCAAACAATACGCTATTGTTCAGAACAAAGACATTCAATTTGTCTAGCGGACAGATTATCGCAAACAAAAGAATGTCCGTTAACGTGCGTGATTTTTCAGTTTTAAACAGCACTGGATGAGACCATAATCTTTCCACCGATTTTGTTAAAATGTTGACTGAGTAATTGTGTTTTGTTTTCCATGTTTTCATCAGTTAAAATCGTCAATGTTTGTGTTGTTTGTTTAGAAAAAACAAAATATAATATGATCATATGTCAAGACGTGTATCACTCAGACTATGAAAAAATATACAATGGTATTGTTCAAACATGTATATACTTATATAAGAATCCGATAATCATATCAGTCAAACAATAATACGCTAGAAAAATGATTTATATATAGAGCTCTAATGTTACATGTACAGTTTATACAACAGTAAAATCACTTTTTAAAAGCGCCACGGATACCAAACTTATGGCAGCCGTGAACACACTGATATACATTGTTCTATAGATGCGCAAAAATATGACTATTAAGAAATTATTGGTATAGAAATATTCGCGCTGAACATGAATTCGCGGATCGAATGTCACCGCGAAAATCGCGAAAATTTGAAGCCCGCGAATATTTCTACACATACAGTACTCTTAGAGAACCATATCTCCAAATGAAGTGAAGATTTTTAGTCCGAATTGATACTAAATAGAGGTCTTTCAAATTTTAATTGACAGTAATCAGTTCGAGAGGTCGGTAATATTTCGATAGAATATATTTTTATGTAAGGCCTTAATGCTGTACTTCGATATCAGTATATTTAATTTGTTTTTTTTCCAAAATTAAACCTTTGCTGGATTATGTTAAACAGAAAAAACAACAACAAAAAAAAACAAAAAACACACATTACCAACTGTAGTCCTAGGTTACTGCAAACAAAATGTCAACTTTATTTTAAATGTTTCAAAACTATCGCCAGGAGTGAGATGTTACTGTTTTCAAAATTGGGCCCCTCTTTCGATACAAAAGGTCATATGCTATTTCGTAAATGTAGACATGTAGATGATGTATTGTCATAAATGTTACCATGTTGTAGCCCTTTGATTTGTGTATATATATATTTATATTTTTGTACAGAGACCAAGAAAAAAGGATGATCGAAACACAGAAATAAAGGTAATTCTTCAACACTGAGAAAGAATAAAATAATAAGATGCAGCAGTTTTAAATGCGGCATGTGCAAACACTTGATAGAAGAAAATACATACCATTTCAAAAAGGCCGCGAATTTAAAGTAAAATTCTCAGGATCATGCAACATAAAAAATGTAATTCATGCATTGAAATGTAATGGTTGTTCCAAAGATTATATTGGAGAAACTTCAAATTTAAGAAATCGAGTAACATTACACAGCCAACATATACGAATTCTAGACAATGCGTTATTACCAGTCAGTCGACACATTGTCATTTGGGTAAGAGACATCACTCTATAAAATGCGAGAACCAGACACATTCAAAAGAAGAATGAACTGTATTAATAAACGTTTTTAAACCTGAATTGAATTCAAAATAACTTTGATATAATATATATAACAATATAATCAAGCTTATTATTTTGTCTCTTTAAAACTTTGTAAGGGTAACGTCCCTTTACACTGTTTTGACGTCGTTACCAAGCGACGTTATTAACAACATTATCTTGAAGATCCCATTAACGAGTGGAACCGGTTGATATTTTTCTTAAATTATTAGTCCCCTACCGGTTTACCGGAGGGGACTTTAGGTTTACCCTCCGTCCGTCTGTCCGTCAGTCCGTCCGTCCGTCCGTCAGTCAGTCAGTCCGTCCGTCCACAAAACTGGATCCCGCGATAACACAAAAAGTACTGAAAATATTTTAATGAAACTTGATATATGGATAGATGGCAGTATGGAGATTATGCACGTCTTTTTCTTTTCTTCCTATGTTGGAAATTCTGGTTGCTATGGCAACAAATAGACTGAAAATATGGCAAATTTTACACATAACCTGGATCCAGTGATAACACAAAAAGTACTGAAAATATGTTTATGAAACTTGACATATTGGTATATGGCAGTATGAAAATTATGCACATCCTTTTCTTATCTTCCTATGTTGAAAATTCTGGTTGCTATGGCAACAAATAGACTGAATTTCAAGATTTCTGATTCTAGTTTTTAAGTTTTTTCACTATAAGTTCTTTATTTCTTAAGGTATTTTCTTCAAACTTTAAATATAAGTTGCTTGCAATCAACCACATCATATGTGGCAAGGTTTACAACTCTAGCACAAAATTTATCAGAATTACCTCCCTTGAACTTAAAATTTTCATGAAAAACATTGTTTTTTTTTTTTAATAACTTCTTTTTCTGAATGTATCTACTTCAAACTTCATATAAATGTTTCTTATTATCACTCAACATTTGTGAGTGTTCAATACTCTAGCAAGACTATTTCCAGAATTATGCCCCTTTTGAACTTAGATTTTTTTTTTTGGAGAAATTGGTAATTTTTACTCCAACTTCTTCAATCATGATAGGATTTTAAAAATGTCATATTTTGATAACAGGGATGTTTAAAAAATAACTTTAGAGTGTCCTTCAGTCCGTCTGTCTGTACATAAAAACTGTTTCCTGTGATCACTTTTTAAGAACTTTTTCAACAAATTTACTTAAAATAGGAACATAAGTGAATGGCCAATGGCCCTTCAGAATGTTGCTTGGGCTCTTACCGGTAGGGACTTATGGATTGCTTGCAATACTATGATAATTGCTTGTTATTACAGTTTTGTAAATAAACAATTGCAATGTAAACTGGAAAAGGCATCGCTTCATTCCTTTTTTCCTGCTATATATATATATATATAATATATACATTTTACATACATTTGAAAATAATGATGTATAGTAATTGCTTAACAGAAAAATAACAACAATGTTTACACTATATACGAGGGCTGCTAGAAAAGTATCCAGAAAGGTTTCAGTACTTAACATTTATACATGAAATTTTCAACACTGATACTTTCGGGAATATGCCTATGGTCTGCCAGAAAAAGTAAACTACAGTCAAACTTGTATTAAGCGACTGCGCAAGGGAAACACCGAAAACGGTCGCTTAATGAAACGGTCTCTTAAGACAGTCAGCATGATATAAAGTCAAAATTTATAAATGACATCTTTCTTATGAAGTGGGAATGTTTTTCAACTTTATTTTTAGCTCACCTGTCACAAAGTGACAGGGTGAGCTTTTGTGATCGCTTTTCGTCCGGCGTCCGTCCGTAAACTTTTACTTTAAATGACATCTCCTCATAAACCACTAAGCCAATTTCATCCAAACTTCACAGGAATGTTCCTTTGGTGGTCACCTTTAAAAATTGTTCAAAGAATTTAATTCCATGCAGAACTCTGGTTGCCATGGCAACCGAAAGAAAAAACTTTAAATATCTTCTTTTAAAAAACCATAAGAGCTAGAGCTTAGATATTTGGCATGAAACATCTTCAAATGAGTGTCAACCAAGTTTGTTCAAATAAAAGCCCTGGGGTCAAAATTGGCCCCGCCCCGGGGGGTCATTGATTTTCCCTATATGCATATAGTAAAAACTTTAAAAAATCTTCTTTTAAAGAACCCAAAGAGCTAGAGCTAAGATATTTAGCATGAAAAATGTTCTAATGGGTGTCTACCAAGTTTGTTCAAATAAAAGCCCTGGGGTCAAAATTGGCCTTGCCCCTAGGGGTCATTGATTTTCCCTATATGCATATAGTAAAAAATTAAAAAATCTTCTTTTAAAGAACTCAAAGAGCTATGGCTAAGATATTTAGCATCAAACATGTTCTAATGGGTGTCTACCAAATTTGTTCAAATAAAAGCCCTGGGGTCAAAATTGGCCCGCCCCAGGGGGTCATTGATTTTCACCATATGCATATAGTAAAAACTTAAAAAATCTTCTTTTAAAGAACCAAAAGAGTTAGAGCTAAGATATTTAGCATGAAACATGTTCTAATAAGTGTCTACCAAGTTTGTTCAAATAAAAGCCCTTGGGTCAAAATTGGCACCGCCCAGGGGGTCATTGATTTTCCCTATATACATATAGTAAAAACTTAAAAAATCTTCTTTTAAAGAACTCAAAGAGCTATGGCTAAGATATTTAGCATGAAACATGTTCTAATGGGTGTCTACCATGTTTGTTCAAATAAAAGCCCTGGGGTCAAAATTGGCACCGCCACGGGGGTCATTGATTTTCCTTATATGTGTATAGCAAAAACTTAAAAAATCTTCTTTGAAAAAAACCCAAATAGCTAGAGTTAAGATATTAAGCATGAAACATCTTTTAGTGAGTGTGTACAAAGTTTGTTCAAATAAAAGACCTGGGGTCAAAATTAGCCCCGCCCCGGGGGTCATTGATTTTCTTTATTTGTGTATAGCAAAAACTTAAAATCTTCTTTGAAAAAACCCAAATAGCTAGAGTTTAGATATTTAGCATGAAACATCTTCTAGTAAGTGTCTACAAAGTTTGTTCAAATAAAAGCCCTGGGGTCAAAACTGGCCCGGCCCCAGGGGTGTCATTGTTTTTAACTATATGTGTATAGTAAAAACTTAAAAAAAAATCTTCTTTTAAAAAGCCCAATGAGCTAGAGCTTAGATGTTTAGCATGAAACATCTTCTTATGGGTGTCTACCAAGTTTGTGCAAATAAAAGCCCTTAGGTTAAATTGGCCCTGCAACGTTGGGGGTTGGGGGGGCCTATATACAGGTGAGCGACCGCAGGGCCATCATGGCCCTCTTGTTATATAAATGTTGAATAATTAGTACTTTCCGATGCAAATGTAAAAAAAAACCTTTCTGATATTTATTGACAAATTACGTACATGTTTGACATTTTTTCCAGAATATTTTAACTTCTCCGTTGTTTTTCCTTGTCTCCAACACGAAAACCGTATTAGTGAAGATGTTTTCTGTTGTGCATTTTTTCATTTGAAATAAACAAACTACGTTTAACTGTTACGATTAATTTAATTGCTGATCAAGTTTAAAGTCAATTCAATGCAATCTAAAGTCAACAAGCGAAGCGTATACACCACACGGTGATAGGGCGATTACCACAACTTTTCCGCGCAACGTCAAAATATCATCCTTCTGATCGAGACACTGTATATTTCTGGACAAAATATTAATGGCGGGATAAACAAATTCCAGGTAATAGCTTACAAAATATCTTACTGCTGGACATTGCAAAATTATTCCAATTGTTTAAGTATTCCATCGAATTTTTGAGACAATTTATTGTTAATCTAGCACAATACAATTCATACAAAAAACACATACTTCGAAGAAATAGTGTTTACAAAAGATCGTGTGTACCTCAACATGACTCGTACTTGTCACAAAAAACATGTGTTATAACGACGATGTCTTTTTTCTATGAACCTAATGAGCTTGTATATTTATTATGGTTAACCCTAAGTTCAAGTTCCATACAAAATGTGTGTTTCTATCGTAAATTTCAAGGAATATTTTGTTGAAAAAAAAGGCCTACTGACCCGAATATTGGAGCACCGTACAACACTGAATTCAAAACACCGCATTCTTTTTCCGTTAGACCGATAAATACTGGAACCGTCTTCTTTTGAATTATACAATAATCTTACAAATATGTTTTATAATTACTTTTATTTGATGAAATTTTGATGAAAGATTGTTTACTTGCTGTTATGTTATGTTGCTGTTATATCATACGTTATGTTATGGAAAATTTCTGAAGGTCTGATCTGTGTTAATACTACAAATTAGATATGTGCAATGGTATCTATATTATAAATAGATAAGGATGTGTTTTCCTTTTCGAACTTATTCAAACTGATAAACCCCACATGGAAAGATTGAAGTTCTTGGCAGACTTATAATACCATCAAACAACATCGAGAAACAAAAGGAATGAACTATTTGTTAATGGGAATTTCTTATTGCATACTAATTTGATAAAGTTGCAAAAGTCATAACACAAATTTTCATGGTGTAGTTTTTGCAGGAACCTGGGCAATATTTCCATAATCTCTTCAGTCATCGTCTCCAATGTGCTTTTTTTAAACAATCTTTTGCGAAAGTTTGACTTCATATTCTTTTTCTTATGTGGTGCGTTACGCATATCGTCCTGAA